TCAGCAGAAAACTTCACAGAAATAACCTTTTTGTTCTCCATATCAAGTTTGGAGTTTCTCTCTGCAATCCCATTGAACTTAGCTTTAGCAGATTCCAACTCAGCCATCAGATTCCGCTGTGCCTCATTCTCCTAATATTTCTTAGGATTAACAAGAAAATTGAAAATTTGCATGTCTTAATGATTGCAGGAAATGCCTTATCAGATGATCCATATTTCCCTGTTTACCAGTGCTAGACTTCCCTGCAAGATAAATGCAATATGAGATGAAAGACTGGAAATCATCTTCTAAAGGGAAAGAGCAACTCAGTAGAATTGGATTTCAAAAAGTAATATCTAACTTCTTTTATCAGAAAATGTAAGAACTATTTAGAACTAAAGCTGCTATGGATAAGTATATTCTTCAGTTTCCATGATATAGGATGAGAAAAACTCTAGAATGGAAATCCTTTTCATTTCTTCTTCCTTCTTTATCATGTTTTTTCTTCCCTATCATCCTCCTGCACCTCACAAGACATCCAGCGTTCAGATGTCATGGCTTCTCTAATGTTATGTGGCATCTGGATGTAAGATATTAAGCTTGCAGGTTCCTTATAACAAATTGCTAATTTGATTCCTTGCTGGCAACCAATTGGATCTGGCTTCTCTCCCCTTAATTCATATTTTTAACATCAAACACACATGATTCAACAAAATGGGTTTCATATACGATTTAGATGAAAGGATAAACAGTCCTACAGTTTCTGTGCTGTCTGCAAACATGCATTAACCAATATTCTTTGGTTATGGGATAAAAGTAAAGTTTGTATTCTGTTGCTTCAGGAGAGGGCTGGCATTTGATGAGGATAAGTGAAACATACAAATAAAGTTTAGAAAAGAGGTGCCGATGGAAGCCAATAGTAATATTGGTAGATATATTAAAATGTTATGCCTGATAGCATATTAGCAGATGTTAAAAACTTACCTTCCTTGAATTCCACACTATTTTTATCCTTGATCTGTAGGGTTTTAATTATCAGCAGTCAGGGAAGCATAAACACAAGTGTGATAGGACAAGAAGGAGAACAAGGATTCTAATAATAATGCTGAGCAAAGTATGGCAACAAATGTAAAGGGGATAGAAACAAAACTATATGCAGAATAAATTCAAACAGAGATTAGCTTTTATTCTTTGCTAGTCTTTTTCTAGCAAAGAAAGGACTGAAGGATAAATTGCACAGAACACATTAAGTAAAACAAGATTGCAGAAATTTCCCAGTGACTTTCACCATGCAAGATAAATAACTTAGAGGGCGATGAATTTTGCATGATGAACAAACGCCCTCTGCCTGTGATATATCAGAAGTATCAAAAAACAAGACAATAATGTCCATTAAAACACAATATGATGATAGTAGATAACTAGGTTCTCACTTCTCCAGCAGTAACGAAATCCACTTCTTTTATTTAATTTTGGTGGCTGTTGGCATATAAAATTTTGGGAGTACTTGTTTGATAGAGGGGCTAGAGTATTTCTGCTTTGCTCCTCATTCTGTTTTCTCTGGTTCTGAACATACTTGATTTCTTTGCAGCTCTAATCTGAAACTCTCGAAGAAGTGTGTTTTTCTTAATGTCTCAAGTTTTAGAATTCCTATGTACCTCTTGACCTTATTGTCTCTTCCTAGTAAATATAGTGTTATTTTTCCCAGTAAGAAAAAGAACGCACTAAAGTTTTGATCAGAAATTACCAATCTGAGCTGTCCCGTTTCCCCACTGGCTTTGTTAGAATCAACCCAGTCCTGTGAAGAATAAAGTAAAAAAAAAGAAAAAGAACTGCATTTACAAGAACCATGTATTGAATACAAAACCCACATGAGAGGAAGTTGGATTATCAAACCTTTTGTTCCTGTAATTTGGTATTAATATCTTCTGTAACCTTGTTGTAGTAAGCACTGTCATGAGTCTCGTTAATGTTACTTGATAATGTTTGCACTTAAATCACTACAGTTTCATTTTGCATTACCTTTTCTCTGCAAGTTTGGCAGATACGTTCACTTGCTCTTGTTGAAGAAGCTCCAGTGTCTGCTTGATATTAATGGCAGGATGAATCAAAATCATAAAACGACCAACAAAATACCAGATATTGCCAAAATAATTGTCCTCCATGGCACCAAGGACATACTATCTTATCATTTAATTCATATATTAAAATGTTTTGTGTGCATATATTCTTATTCACTTTCATTCTAACAGCTACATTATCATCAACTTGGTTCAACATTCAAATTTAAACACTATGAACAGTTGATCCTCTTGAAATGAGATATAAAACCTACAATCTGCAGTATGGATCATGCATCCTTAGATCAAGAAACAGCTCTATTTCCATGATTGAAACATCCATTTTATTTTTATTTTCATAAATGAGAGATTAATTATCAATGTCGTCGGATGCTTTTAACTGCTAAAAATGACTACTTCAAACTAGTGTTTTGCCTTTTCTAATCTCTATGATAGACCATAAATAACTTAGATGTTCATTGATCTTTCCTCCACCTAGTACTCATTTATGTCTTCTTTGCTCTCCATTCTTTCCTGTCTTTTAACTTCTTGCTTTTCTGCCATGTCATCTGATCCACCCAGATGCTCAATTTTGCTCTCAAACTCATTATTATATCTATTTGCATTCTTGAGCAACACGAAAAACGTCTTTTAGAATTGAAGTTCTAACAGGTTTTAAGCTTTTATGAAGCAAGTTGAGAATATGGTAGATATACATAAGTATGCGCTTTGATAATAAACTGTGATTAAGCAACAAAATTGAAAGTAATTTAAATGCAATGCATTAGCACAAAAATCTAGATAAGCGTCAATCAGGAAGCCACTACAATGCATTCATATTAATCCAATCGTCCAAGACATCAATAAGAATTTGCAAAAACATCTCCGTTTATGCCAGACATAAGCTAACCAAACACAGAGGCGAACACATACATACATACATACATGCATTTATGTACATACCATACATACATAAATAGTTATATATAAAATATATATATATATATAGAGAGAGAGAGAGAGAAAGAAGGAGTGCCTGGATTAGTTTAAGTTTATCAGACTCCAATGAGGCTATCTTTCTCTGCTTATCTGTTATCTGTGAGCACACTTGACCCTTGGCCTTCAACATCTGCTCAACATCTTCTTTAAGTTGCTTTACTTCCGCCTTGGCTGTAAGGACGTCAACATACAGTCCGTATTGAAATTAGTTACAGGAAGGTTCAGTAAATTGCTAATCCGTGCATAAGTACATATTCACCACGATCCACATATTTGATTACACAGATAGAAAACCTCCTTAATGTAAATGTTCGGAGAGAAAAAAGGAGCATACCAGAATTGAGATCTTTCTCCATGGTTTGGATTGTAGTGATCTGCGATTGTTCTTCAAATGATATCTTCGCCGCTTGATCCTCCACATCTACATTTAATTCGTGTTCAATTAAATAAGTGATGACGAATTTAATTAGACAGCCAAAGAGGCCACATATAATCTAATTTCCTATATACATAAACACATAAGGATTCATGAAGGAAAAAGTTAAAGATATATATGTAGAGAGGGAGCGAGAGAGACAATTGCCATGATACCGTTCATTTGAGAGCGCAAGGTCTTCATGTGCTGTAAATAATCCTCCATTTTTAGCTTCTTCCAATTCAAAATCCGAATTAGACACACATCAGGGAACACACAGAACTATGGAGAAAATATGAATCAGATTTTCATTCAAATTCAAATAAATGGACTACAAAATGAGATATCAAAGAAAATGTGAAAACGGTGGGGAAATTTTTTTTGGAGGGAAAACCCAAGGAAGCAGAACTAATAAACTGAACTTAGGCCGAAAATAAAGGTGTTGCCCATTTATGTTCAATTTTTTTTTTGAATGAACTAATATAGGTTTACTTTTATTTTTATGGCTAAATTGTATTTTTTTATTTTTAAATTATTTTTCAATTTAGTTTCTAATTTTTAAAATTTTCAAACTTATTTAAAATAAAATAAATGAATTTTAAAACACACCACAAATATGTCATTGAAATGCAATATTAGTATTATATTCATTAAATTTACCACTTGAAAATCGGGTTCGAATTTATTTGATTTGGGCCAATACTT